TTAAGGTCGCATCAACTTCTAGGTTATTAGCGACCACTATTGCGTGTAACGGTATGGTAACTATGAGGGTGACACGATGTGATGATGATAGAGGGTGAAAGGACGTACGCAATATACAACCATGCCCGAGGCGGGACTCGAACCCGCAATCGTTCGGTCCGAGTTCGCTACGACACTACTGCCTCAGTGATTTCTGCCATCCGGACCGGCATTAATGCATCCTTCCTGTTGGGCTTGTAGGAGTTCACCACCACACGGTTTTACCCAAGAACGCAACAGTATGAACCGAGATAGAAAACTACGGGAAAGTCGTTACGGGCGAACACTCAGCAAAACGTACGTTTGACCGTCTGTAACCTCGCCACAAGGCGGAGGTCGCAGGAGCTGCGAGAATCGGCCGCGCGAACGGATGCCGCGGGCGGAGTAAACCTCCGAGGCCGCGTGTTTGCTTCTCCTCGCCACCGGCATTCACTTCGGGGCGCCGACTGAAACGAGCCGCAAGGTAGCAGCCGAGCGCCAGCGCTGGGCTTCACGCTAAGCGGTTGAAAATACCCGCAGTGAATTAAGGGGAATCACGACCGTCAGTCTATCAAGAAGCAAACTGTTACAATGCGAAAACCGATAGAGTGTCGGTGAGTAAAAACATTCACACGGTAAGACACTAAATGCCCAGTCATATTTACTTTAAATGTAGTATTTTTAAATATGTTTCGTTTTTGCGATGATTGGCACTTTGAATCGACAAAAAATAATATTTAATTACATAATCTTTAAATTAAGAATTGCGAAAAGAATATAAAACATTGTTACTGTGCGCAAAACTCCAGATATCTACGGTAACAAACTAGAGATAATTATGAACATTTTTAGATTTTTATTGAGGGTTTGTTATAATGATTCCAATATCTAAGGCAATATCCTGACTAAATTAAACCTTCCGGCAATGTTGTCCTAATCAGATCCCGCACTCGCTGGCACCGGGAATACCTCTTAGTAATGGACAAACATTACTAGCACTGTTCTAATAATTTTCCCTGGCGGCAAATATGGCAATCAAAAGCCACTGGCAACGCTATAGAATGCCAAATCCATGTTTCGCCCATTTGGGGCCAATAGATATATGTGAGGCAACTACAAAGACAAACATTTTTGGGTTATCCTGAACCAATCAGGAATTGCAAAAGGAATGTATGATCTGCTGATAATGGTGACGTTACGATATGAAAAATTATGGAGATATTGAAATGAAGGGCTATGAGAAAAAGTAAATACAAAAACCTGGGGAAAATACGACCGGAAATGGATCCCACACATGGAGATGGAAAGTTTTTCGCTTGCCACCACCTTACTTGTATAGTTGAGATTATAATTGAGTTGTATAGTTGAAATTATGTATTTACTATAAATTGCCTACATTTAATTATTGTCTGCATTTGTATAGTTGTATAGTTGAATAGTTGAAATTATGTATTTACTATAAATTGCCTACATTTAATTATTGTCTGCATTTGTAGTCTTAACTTACATATACAATTTATCAGACATTAGTCTCACTTGTTTATTTACTTCTTAATTGCAGTTTATGGGGCTTCAACTACTACAAATTTCAAACTTCATGAGTAATTACAAGTATCTAACGAGTAGACACTGAGGTAAATGATGATATGGTAGAATGCGAGGCAGTAGAGACGAAGGTTCTCGAGATAGTCTACCAAAAACTCGCTCTGTCAACAAGAAATCCCACTTGGGCCCCACGGTGAAAGGTGGTATGCACTAGACAAAACGCTACGACCCCCCCCCACCCCACCCCGATGAGATAGGTTCATCTTCATTTTTACTACGCATTATTTACGTCAGTCATGTCAAACCGTGCCCGCACGATCTACTTGGCCATCTTGGAAACCGGGCGCTCCTACGAGGAACAGCAACTTCCCCTGACTGCGCTTTATCTCCCCGCCAAATCCGGGATGGGGTGTACTCGCGCAAGATGAAGTGGCGCAAGATCGAAAATAGTGGGCACATACGAAAATATTACTGCAACATATATTAAATCAAAGAAAGATTTGTATGATTTTTATAATTTTTACTACTTATAACAATTTCATTTAGTTTATTTTCTTTTTCAATTCTACCTTGTATACGCATGTGAATGTATACGCAATTTTGCCATTTGGAAGAAATATGTGTGAACAACGAATGCTTTCCTTGTTTTTATTTTGTGTTGTTTGTTTAAACTATTTTATTTGTTTTATTTAGCAAAAATATGAAATAAGATAATGTTTCTGAAAATTAACAATTTGTCCTTGCCTGAACCTCTTAACATGAACTTGGGAAATTAATGCAATTATTGCTCTCTTAAGTAAATTGTTAAGAAATCAAGTCACCTTCGATTCAAAATGTTTAATTTTATTCTCAACTGACAATTTGAAATCTGGCTGATCATTTCATGTATATCTTTTTTTGCTTTAGTGGAGGAAATGGTAATTAATATACTTGGGAAAATGGTAATTAAGATCACTACATTTGGGGAAATGTGTGTCAACAGACTTCCACAACAGACTGTCAGGCATGCAGTGTCGTACCGCCACACCGGAGCAATTTGTACAAACCTTAAGTTTTAAAACTCGCGTGAGTAGCTCTGGAGACAGTGTCTGCAAACCCTAGTAAGCTAGATACCTTGCCAGCGACTTTGACATGTACATGTTTGATTAATGTACTAAAATTGAAATGACAAAATAGGAACAAAATACGTGGCTTCTTCTGTAAATGAATAAAAATATCGCACCACTTACAAGCAAACGCGCTGAAACTGCGTGCTATTGAGCAAGGAGAAGTGGATAAAGAGAAACTATTTTTGCGAATATATATATTCGCAAGGGCGCTAAGAACCAAGTCATCCTAAAAAGAAAGCGAAAGAACCTAAAGAAATAATTCACTATGAGAGCCTCACATTCCGACACTTGGCCAAACATGCGAAAGTCAAATATTATTTCTGAACTCAAATATTTTTTTCTGAAGTTTACTGCCCATCAAGAGCAAACAAAATTCGACTTTCATTTCCCGAAGATTTGCAAACATCAGCGTATCCAAGATAAATATGCATTTAATAACCCATAATAATATTTATTAAAGCTGCAAATGTATACAAGTGGAAAAAAACGTACACATTTCTTTCACTTCTGAATTGGAGAAGTAGGCGTTCTTGTTGATATGGCTTTCTGACACTTCTGTGAAGTACATCTAGCCTCCTTCGCCTGTAAAATTTCGCAGTTCTCACATAAAGGTTTCCGTATTACAGAGGATCTAAAAATTCCGTTAACTGGATGATGTCTTTCCTTTTCACTCCCAAGATTAGAACTATCCACGACGCAAAATGCACTTTTCAAACTTCGCTTTCCCGGACATTGACATCGTACGCGTATCCTTACCGAACCATTTAGCTGGCAATATTTACATAAGGGTTTCTGATTACCCCAACCAATTGTATTATCCAAAGTGTAAGATGTCTAGATATCTAGGTGTCAGAAGTAAACGAATAATATGGCAATTTTCGGACGTGAAGTACATAATCGGTACTGTTATAATATTTATCTTTTTTAACGACAAAAAACAAATTAGAGCAAAAGAAAATAAAGCAGGAAATAAAAAAGAATATGATGTTCATACGTGATAGAACTAAACTGGAAATGTACTAATTGTTTCATATTATTGGGTGGGAAAATCATTATAGTTGTTCCCGTTCAATGAAAAAAATGTCATTAATTGATGCTTTTGTAACGAACTCGAACGAGTCTGACAAAAGTCTACTGAACTTGTGATTAGTGTGAGTGGTTTGGGTACAACATCCCCAAAGCACAAATGTTAAGTGTTGAGCGTCCCAAAGAGAGAGAAAAATCCATCTACAGAGTAACAGAGTGTGCATGATGATCTCGCCGACAGAGCGCAGCGCAGGTGAACGGTGAATAGTCGATAATCGAGCGCCATCGAGTAGAAAGCGTGACAGAAGCAGCTAATTGCGCGGAAATGCGGAAACAAACCGAACGCGATCATGCAGAATGATTTTTCCAATACTGCAGCAATTCAGCTTTTACCCCTTCTACAGTTACACAACAATCTTGTTCAATACTATCTAGATCGCATGAATCTGAACAAGGAGACAAATCCAGATATCGAATAGTAGAACAGCAAGTTTTGAGTTAACAAATACGAAGATGAGGGAGAAAGAATAAAGATTATTTTCTTCGCAACTGGAGCCATTCCAAAATGTCTTCATTTCAGGATGTTCGAAAATCATCAAAATGACGATCACGATTTCAATTTAACTACTATATTCTGATTCTTTAAATAATGTTTTTCGCCCTATGATGATAATTTCAATGGCGGAACGAGATCGTTTCAAAGGCGGTCATTGATAATGAATGATAATGGAGCAACGGTGGAATGAGACGCAGATAATACGAGAGAACTTCAAGCCGCATTGTCCACATGAGTCGGCGAGGAATTGAATCGCGGACGACCCTGCGGTCGAAGGCGAGCGGTGTGACCGCTACACCACGGGTAGTCCTCTTCGTAATACGAAAATTCAAGTCACTACCCCGTCACCTTATTTGATTCGCAATTATGCCGGTAATATGTTCCGCAATAATAAATGCCTTGTTACTGAGTAACCAATGTATTTAATATAATTACGTGATGATATAAGTCAAATAATTGGTTGTCCCGGTAGCTTAGGGGTTAGAGCAGCTGGGCCTAATCCAGGAAACCCGGGTTCGAATCCCGCTCGGGGCTGACATTGAACAAATGTAATGTATTTAATATAATGTAAAATTTAATATATTTAATGTAATGTAAAATTTAATATATGTTAAAAGAATTGTCATCCCGGCCGGGACTTGAATCTTGTTGTTTTTGGAGTTATACTTAAGGCATAAAAAATAAATAAATAAATAAATAAAATTTAAAAAAAAATAAATAAAAAGAAATTGCAAGGGCAAACTCACCGTGTAGGACTCCGGCGGGTAGACGATGAAGTGGCGTAGCGTGAAGCCGAAGCCATGCTCGTAGCGGCGCAGGAACAGGCTGCGCGGCCCTCGCGACCACACGCTGCCTGGCCGCTCCCCCTGCAACGCAACCACGCACGCACGCACGCTTAGCACACCCTCGCCACAACAACAACCAGCTAGCATGGGCTGACCGGGCGATCGCCCGGGGCGCCGCATGTCAAGGGGACCGATGATGGGACTGACAGGATGAAAAATTAGTAAGAAACTGAAAAAGAAGTTAGAACTACAGAAAATCGTTGTCGTAATTTTATAGGTAGCGGTACCGTAGTTTTCTATTTCATAAAATGTTCTATTAATTTTTTACCTTAAATATTTAATTATAGTTATTACTTAAGCTAATTGCTTAAGCGTAGGGTTGGAGTCCAACTTCCCTGAAATGCATCAAATGATGCTAACTTAAAATAGATTCCACTGAAATTCGTAGTATTATCTCATGTGTTTAACAAGAGATTTTATCAAGGGACGAAACACAAAATACAATATTTTTAGCATTTTAAGACACCGTAGAAATTGTATTATTTGATCAAAAATACTTTCACTAAGTTAAAACTATTATTTAAAATGTATTTCCCAAACCTTTTATTGGCTCAAATGTTGTAATTTTTATTATTTGTTGAAATACAATAATCCACAGTTTCTTGACATTTTTCTTCTCTTTTCTGGGGGTGGGGGTGCTACGTTTCAGCATTGCCCGGGTCCCAAAATTGTCTAGCTCCAGCACTGACACCAATTACGTAATGAGATTGTTCTTCATCAAGCTGTCGTACTCAGGTCTGTTAAACCAAATATTTTTAACTAGAGAAGTATAAACAGTACTAAATTTGATTGCCAACATCATCCTTTTGAGGAGGTATATACCTTGCAACATTGGAAGAGGAGATAATCGACATCGTGGTCAACACAAATAACAAGTTGTGTTGATCAAAAATGTACAATATTTCATATTAAGTTTCCTCTTTTAATTATCACAACTAACAGAAGTGTACCATACAATTACAAAAACTGAATCTGATGAAAAGGAATACAACCAATAAATTATTTCAATTAATTGCAGTTAACTCTAATACAAATTGTAGGCAATAGCACTGCAGTTTAATTATTAGCACGGATACCCGACTGCACGCTTAAATAATGACTCCATCGTGACGGTTACGAATTGAGGATGAGCAATCGCTATTTCATAAGCATTTATTACCGTTTGCAAAACTTGTGAAGAAGCCTCATTATCATTAAGTTAATAAGAACTTCTAGTTATGCCATCCTTCATATTTTAAGTGACAAGAGTGTATAATTCTCGAGTCTACCTAGCTCTCCAAAATACGACACCAAAAGTACTCCCCGATCCGCACCTTCCGAGACGACTGCCACCCACTCTCCTCGCGCCGGAAGCAGCCTTCACTTCTCACCGACAGGTACAAGTGCGGAGGACTTTATAGGCGATAAAATGCATCCCCTGTACAGTGGAAACCGCGACTAACAGAGGCAGCTGGCGCGCGGCGGCGACGGCGGCCCGGGGCTACCGACAACAGCAGTCGTAAATACTGCTCGGTCTCGTCTACGCAATAAAATAAGTGGCACGCGGGGGGCGGAGGCGGGGGCGTATTCGACGCGTGAAGCGCGGGCGCGGAGTGCGCGCAGTGCAAGTGGGTCGCTTCGCTTCCTGTGCGCCGCGTCGCGCCGCCACACGCCCACAACGCACGCACGCACACACACACACACACACACACACACACGCACGCACGCACACACGCACACGCACACACGCACGCACGCACGCACACACGGTGATTTGATCCAAGTGTTGAATTACGGGAGAGTTGGCTGATTTGGCTGCTTGTTCACGATTGTGCATTTTTAAGGGCGGCACGTTTCCCAAGATGCGTTCAACAGCAAACTATTTTCGGTTAATTGGGTGAAATTTATTGTCCTTGAAGTCGTGGAAGGAATGGGTTCTAATTATAGTGTGTGGGTGCACGCACGCACGCGCACACACACACACACACACACACACACACACACACACAATGAAGGAACTTTAAAGGCAATTTATTAGAAAATCGAAATTATTATTAAATTGATTTGGAATATTCGAGACAGAATAACGTAATGTTCGATTTTCTACTCTCTCGCTATCGCTTCGGCAGTAGAGAGAAAGATATGTATTTGCATTTTTTTTAAATAAAGAGCTGTAGTTATCTCTACACTTACTCGAAACCACAGACCAGAAAGAATTTAACTCATTATTGATAATCCGAGATTGGCACTTCGAGCTCTTTTCAATATAATTCCCGAAGTGGCCTAACACCAAAATCCCGCGGCATATACTCGAACACATTCCATACATGTTTTTGCACACGTGAATATTTGTTCACGTGTCGAACGAACCACTTATCAGGGGAAACTCTGCTGAAGGAGCGCAAAGCCACTTTGTTTTTTGGTCAGCGCAAATACTTCACATGTGGAGTTTTTATAGCCGCAAACCAGATTCCGTCCACGGCGCTTTTGCCAACCGCCGAGCTGCACCGCGAATTTGATTTAGTGGGGAAGGCGAGACGGCGTTCCGTATGTGGGTCGCTCACCCAAACGCATCTGCACCCGACCAGATGTGCGAGCGAAAAGAAGCGGCCACCCGCGCGCCCGCGCGTCTGCCCGTGCGCGAGTTTTAAACGCGGTGGTAGCCGCTTCTCGCTTTCTCCGCCCCGCAGTCGGCGGAATTAATTAGTCACGGGGTCGGAGGGCAGTGGCTTCGAGTTCTAGTGCCGGGGCGGCGGCGAAAGGACGGATAAAGAAAATCACGCGAGGGTCGCGACCCCGTTATGAAGGTACCGACCTAGCTTTCGCGAGGTACTTCAAGACCCCAACAACGCCTCCGCACTTATTCGCCGTACGTGGCTGCCAAATATGGTTCTGAACAACGTACCTGCGGATGGCAATGATGTACGAGTGTCTTTTTTAAAAAAGAATAATGATATGATTGCTTCAAAATACCGGTATACTAACACAGAAAATGTGTGTTAACATTTTGTCGAAGGTATCAGTAGCATTCAAACAAGTATCAAAACATCCTTCAATTAAAACAATATGAATTAATCAACTTATGGTAAATTGGATTTTGTTGCCTCATGTCGCTTTTCGTCTGAAAAGTCTAATTCACCCCTGGTTGTATTCTGATCGTTAAGATCTGCCTTTATAGATTGAAAAACACTTTGATTTTTCACCTTGACCTGTGTCTTGCAAGAAAATCTGTTGTATTTGGTACGATTTTACAACACATCGGTTTTGTCTTTCCGATACTTCGCAATAGATCGGTCCTGTAAGAATAAATATATAGGTATTTTAAAAACCTCATTCCCCTGTACGCAAAATGTGACATTTATGTATTCCATTTAGTTTAATGGTTAGCAGCACATATTAGATCGTACTAGGTCCACGCCAGAATTAATGCAGATAACACACGTTACACACGCCGACTATATAGATTGCCGGTTCAAATTCTAACATGCGCATACATGATTTTATCTGAACTTATGCGCAGATTATGCTTCATGTATTTTAATTTCGGAGGCAGATTCTGTTCTAGTGATCATACGAGAGGCTTGCACTATCTTGCAAGGACGATGAAGTATAATTATAATTGCTGTTCTTCAAAATACGTCTCAAGAAGAAGCAATGTACCTATGAGAGAATATGCAAGATAAAGCAGTATTAAAAAAATCAACTTTTTTAAAGAAAATAGCACTCTATTATCTAAATGAAACCACAGAGAAAATAAGCGAAATAATTGTCAACGGAATTCCGTGCAGCAAAGACTACAACGAAACGAAGATATTAATAAAATAAAGCAAAAAACTACAATAGTAAACTATCAAAATAGTGAATAATCATTCTCTTTTACTTCCTCTGTCCACACTTCAGCGCTCTGTCCTAAAACTGCACTGGGGCAAATCGTTTTGAAAACTGCGTTACCAGCTCACGCGGTGAATCCCATTCGAAAACCAAACCCCAGGCGCGGCGTAAAGCGGCCAGTGGCGAGGAAGAGCACGCAACAGCTTCGGGGAAGCCTAGAGCGTTCGTGCACGTGCTATCGACTACGATGACCTACGGGTCAACGCCCGCCGACACTGTGCTCCTGCCCGAATGCAGACGTTAGTGACGGAAGAGCGCCCACTCAGCGAGCCGAAGAACAGGCACACACCGTAGTGATTGGAATGCCTTCTAAAACATTTTGAGTTGGATTCATTGGAATAATTTATTGAACGTTTAAGAATTCCTCTTGGTTTCAATTAATTCATTAAATATACTATTAGAATAATTTAGATTATTTTAATTGGGATTTGTGAAGAACTTTATTGGAGGAACGTAAATAATAGAAAACGATTTATTCAACACACCTGTCACGAAATATTTTTCGTGTTTACGATCGTTATTCCTCATGTTACTCCAAAAATAATTCATATATTTTGGAGATGTACTACGTATATGTTACTATAAGCAAATAATATACACGTTAGAAATTACGAAACGCATTTTTTTAAAGTGGGGACTCTTGATGTGGCGTAGAATGACATCACACTGTTGTTTACGCTTTAACCTGAAGGTGTCATTGAATGTAAGGAGTTTTCATGACCCCACGAAGAATGATGCTTCTCATTAAACATTTTCTTTTAAATCGATAAATCATAAAGTATCCTTACAACTATTTAAATTAGAAATTTGAAACTAAAATAAGTGGGTACATCATGGGTCAAATTCAGAACAGAGAAGTGATAAGCAAGTTATAAAAGTTTTATGTGAATATTGACTCTAATAAATCGATTTTTACGAACATTGTTACAATAGACGATTTTTTTAAATTACAAATCATATTTTCAATACGATTACAATATTAATAATCAATAATTTAATTATCGATGCTAAAAATTCTACAACTAGGCTAGGTGCTTTAAAAATTTAGTACATATCTCTTAAAATTATGACTTAATTCTGGGAGATATCATTTCTTTAAAATAAAAGAATTTAATTATTGTTGTGTTAAACAGGTTGAAAAGAATCTCGACCATTCAAAATCAATTTCGTGAACTTTTGATGGGATATTTGTTTTCGTCTCTTCCCCCAGCAGCGGCGCCCGAGCCATTCGCCGGCCCCCTGCGTGAGCGGAGAGACGCTCCGCAGACGCAACGCGCGTCGCTGAAGAGGAGCGAGTGGCGACGACGGAGCGACGAGGGACGGGCAGCCCACGGCAGGGCGCTGGCCGGCGCGGGGCGGGGGAGGGGGCGGATGCGGCTCTGCGTCCGTGCGGGGGGCCTTTGTGCCGAGCCGCAGAGCGCTTTCTATCGGGGCCACCCGCGCAAACGCTTTCGCTGCTCCCACACTCCACCCCGCTCCGCCCCGCCCCCGCGCGCCGCCACCTGCGTGAGGGAAGTGAAGCTCCTCGCGCTCGACTATTGACGCGCCCCGAAGGCGCCGCACCGCGGGTGTGCCACGGCGTGTATGGAAAGAAGAAGAAGATGAAAAAGAAGATGATGAAGAGAGGCAGCGAGAAGAAGGGCGGGAGGCGGAGGGGGAGGGGAGAGGTAGAAGAGAAAGGAGAAGGAGGCAGGAGAGGAGGAGGAGAGAGGGGAGAGGAGAGGAGAGGAGGAGATCGAGGCAGAGAGAGGAGGAGGAGCTGACTCGGCGGGATGACATCTGTAAGATTCACAAAGCGGTGAACTGGACGTGCGATTTGATCCGAATTCCGGAGCTAACAAGAGTACGCGTCAGATCTAATGTCCAGAAGCTGCTCGTGACTTTCGAATGTGAGGTGAAGGAAGGTGGGAGATGGCGCAGAGAGAATTTTTATGAGTCCAGAAGCGAGGCGGTAACTTGGAAAGGTATTGGAGATGATGAAGTGAGTACGTGATGCTGGGTAGCGTGGTTGTGCTGGGAGGCGCAACTGGGCTGAAATCTGCAGAGAAGGATGTGATGCTTGCGATAGGTGTTAGGTGGTGGAAGAAGGCCACTAGTGGGGAGAAGAGTAAAAGGAGATAGTGAGAAATGAAGTGGTTAGAGCATGTAGTGAGAAGTATTAGCGCTGATGGTTATTGGCGAGAGACAGAGACGTAGTGGTAACGGTCCGTAACTAATACGTAATATCACTGTAGCCGACAGTAAAATGGCATTTCCATTGATAGGAGAGAGTAGAAACAAGACCGATGTTCCCCTATAGTAGTCCGCGAAGGGTGAGACGAGCGTGTCGGTAGCGCGTGCTACCGGAATCCCTCCCGCCGCCTTATCATGGCGGCGCGGCGCGATGGCGTGGAGCGCGGAATGCGAGACGCAGGAGCGGCGCGTTGGGCGCCGCGCCGCGGAGAGTGGCGCGAGGCGGAGGCGCGCCTTTGGCGGAGAGCGTCGCGGGGAGCGCGGGCGGGCCGACGCCGACGCGACGCGAGACGACAATGCACGCGACGTCGGCGAGACGAACCAGCGCTGGCAATATCAAACGCTTCGCGGAAATGTTCCGCGCCGAGCCGTCAGCTGCGGCCCATGGCGCCAGGCCTGGGGGGGGGGGGGGAGGATGGAGAGCGCCCGGCCGCCGCGCCCGGTCAGCTGACGCGGCGACGCGTGGGCGGCGCCCGGCGCACTAGCAGGCGACGGCAATGTGTTTAGGGCCTAGGGCAAGTCGCATTTGAGTGGACGGGACAAGTTTTTCGCATAACGTGACAAGCACAAGACCTAAAGTACGCCCAAAGATGAAATGTAAAACAAATTCACTAGAATTACAAAAGGTTGGTAAAACAAAACTAGTTGCGCGTTGCATTTCGGCACTCATCAGGCAGGAGCCATACAAATATGAAGATAACATCTAAAGAGCGAAAATAAGAAAAAACGCTATGAGATAAATTTTTTTCTATTGGAAGAAAAGTTTATTTTATTGTATTTTTTATTAAATTAAATAGGATTTTGATAAACAATTAACGACATTTTTGCCGAGGAAAATAAATTTTCATTCACACATCATTAGAACTACGCCAAACTCCCACACACATTTTCTGGTATTGCAAAGTTTTTACAGCAAGGTAACTAGTCATCGAGCGATATACTTATGCGGCATTTCCAAACCGTGAAGATTGAGTTTACGTCCTTTTCAGTACTGTTGCTTGTCGACTAGAGTACACCATATACGCAGTCAAATGCATATTCTGCATTACCAACGGCCGAGGCATTACTAGACGACCAAGACATATTAACAACTCGATGCATGTTATTCTGGGACTTAACTAAAGTTAAATGAATAATCAATAAAATCCAATGAGTATGACAACTGACAAGCGCTCGATTAGCACCCTAGTACAATTACAATTTCTACACACAGAAACATCGTAAAAAGGCAGAAGCCATCGGGAATAGCAGCGCCGCTCCACGCAACAGAAGACGACCCTCTGCGTCAGAGCCGAAAGGGCCGCTTCGCACAGCGCAAGGCGAGACGCAGCCGGCAAACCTCCAAATGCTGCTGCCTGTGCGAACGAAGCGACGGGCGGGGGGGGCGGGTGCGGCGGGCGGGCGGGGCGAGGCGGGGCGAGGCGGGCGAGGCGGACGGGGCGGGGCGGAGAGGGCGGGGCCGAGCGGGACCTGGGGGCACGCGCGGAGCGGGCGCCGCTATCAGGCGCGGCCCGCAGACAAAGGGCGAGCGGGTTGGCTGGTGGGCGGGCGTGACAGAACGGGGCGACGCGACGCGGTGCGGCGACGGAAGCGCCGCGGCGCCGCATGACAGGTACACCGCCTCCTCCTCCTCCTCGTTCCGCTCCGCGACTCCGCCCCGCCCCCGCTCCGCGCGCTGCCGGCGAAGCGACCCAGATAAGAGCGCTCTCGCTGTCAGCGGCGAAGACTGCTCGGCCCCGCCCCCGCCGCCGCACTGCCCTTCACGCCTGCCGACGCCACACAGTGGGCCCACGGGCGCGCACCGCCCACCGCGTCTATACTCGGCTCGTGGAATTAACATGCATTCCAACCTCCAGTTCCACTCGCCTACTTGTATGATGGCTGCCAACTCGGTTCACGAGCACATGGGGACGCGTACGTCGTTATGGCCTCCCCTCTCCTACGTCGCGCCGGTGGCGTTTGCCTTCAAGGAGTGCTCATGAATGGTGAACAACGATGAATTGATGAGGCGGTAATTATATTATTGATGGAATGATGTTTCGGATACGACGCTTGGTATGGGAAGCCATGTCATCACGAACACCCTTGCTTGTGTTACTCTACAATACACCCAATTTGGCTCCGGCTACTTAAACCTGCTTGACTGAAGCCAGCCGTCCAACTTTATCTAGAACATCTGAATACTTTGAGTCTTCATGAAAGTTTGTTCGGTTCAATTGCAGGAGCTCAGCAGCCTGGAGTCTTAGTCTCTTTTTTTCATTTCTCCATTCGACAACTACCAAAATTTCATTCTACGCAACCTAGGGGACTTGAGGTAGGGTGTTGAAGAATGGAATATATATGAAAGATATAGTGAACTTTCAAGAAAATAATTCCGAAAGTATTGGTATTCCGAGTAGATAAAAGAATATACGAGAACAATTATCAATAGTATTTACCGAAAGCATTATCCAAAATCAATGACATTATCACATCTTAGTGCACAAAAGAAAAGCAATTCAAGCACAACACTGGCAATGCTGAAGAGGCAAGTAACCCGCATCCGAAAGCAAAGTGCTAGAAGTATAAGCTATCTGCTATTACAACTATCTATTATATTTGAAATAAGTAAACTTTTGCATTACCAGGTTTATAACGAAAAAACTAATTTCTCAATGCGCACCCTATTTCTCAACAACAAAAACCCTACTGCAACAATAACTGAATGCCCACTTTCAACGCGTTCCCTTTAGTGCTAGCAAGTCCCTCAAACGTCTTCCGCAAATCATATTCCACCGGACAAACTCCCCGGTCACCGACTCGGAGCACAGAAAGATCGACCAGCGCATTAGGTTCGACCGCCTCGACCAGCGACCGCATTGGCCACTTGGCTGCGGGTTCGGCGGCGCGGATCTCGGGCGATATCGGCCGTTCGCGGTCGGGCCCCGCCCCCTCCCCTCTCTCACGCCCCCGCAGCGGTCGTATTTCGGCGTAGCCACGTCACTCGCGAGCGGGCATCTTCCTCCGGCTCCCAGGCGCGTAAATAAACCCCATCGACGCAGTCGCGCCGTCGTAAATCAAACCGCGCGCGCGCTCCCTCGCTCGCTCGCGGCCGCCGGTTTCATCGCGGGCTGACGGCTCCGCGAGAGATTTACGCGAAACGGAGCAGGGAGGAGAAGAAACGGCCAGTTACTGTCGAAGCTTAACACGCACTCCGAGAAATGAGTTAGCGAGGTTCTTTGGTGGTCAGCATCCCAACAACTGTGTGCGCGTGAGAGTCTGTCGTTCGGCGCCATGTACTCGCGGTGATCCACCAATTACACAGATTAGGATAGCGAAAAGTTTGCTACCATCGTCACGGGTATTGATTTCCAGTGGTGGCAGTCAAGAACAGATAGGGATATCTATAATCTTTCATTACTCTGAAGAAGCTCAAGCACACGCCGAAATTTTACATTTATATGGACCGCAATACTCTGAACTCTTCCTTCTATTAGAAAAGGTTAGTTGGGGTCGAAGTTAGCAAACACGTTCGCTCAAATATACACTCACACACACGCGTGCTCTCCGAAGAAAGAAATTAGCGAGACTTCGCGATGGTCTGCGGGTGGGCAATTGTGTGTCTTCCATTGGAATCAATGTCGGGGCCCACACAGTGCCCAGACCTTACCACGAACCAACATGTCTAGATAGGCAAACCTAAATGTTATGAAAGATTAATCACTTTAGTATTAATGTAGCGTTCTCATGGTCGCCTAGCACTCACACAAAAATGCACAACGTTAATTAGAAAGTCTGGTAAGCGTCTCTCCAATGATATTCAAACTTTTCTCAGAATTACCATTTTATTGTATTAACCAAACCACGCAGATTATTTTATTTGGCAATAAAAAACAATTTCGGGTTAAAAATTTCCTCTACAACCTACGTATTTTTGTATGCAATAAAAGGATGCACGAAAATATATTTCAAAACTGGATCATCATTCTTAGATAAAATGAAGGCAGTACATTTACCATCGTTACAAAAGTCCATTACGATCCAGTTAAAAGCAATAGTTTTTTAACGTATGTGCTTGAATGTATTTGTATGAACATTTGACTAAAGAAAGAACCTACGGAGATGAATTTCAAATCTTATGAAATGCAAGAGGGAACACCACTACATTAAAATGAATCTTCCAGACATTTTACTACCAACAGTAGCATAGGCTGGAAAAGCCGTATAATTAAAATAACACATTCCTTAATCAGATATCCCAAATGTCTACTAAGCTATAAAAATATTTTCTCTACAGAAAGTTGTTCCAATAGTTTTTGAACGTTTATTCACCATAACTCCTTTTCTCTCCAACTACAATCGTGACTGAGGAAATGTTCAATTTTACAGTCAAATTTACGTGTTCCGGAGAGGAAGCACATAATACGGCAACATTAAAACCTACATTTACCTGAAAAATCTCACGACTGAAGTCCCGTACAACCACAATAATTCCCCCACTACCTTTTCCAACGCACCAAGGCGAAACCTCCGAATACAACCGCAAACAAAACAAAACAAAAGTCTCACCGTCTCCGCCGACGAGCGCGGTGACGCGATTTGCGAGAGAGCGAGCACAAAGCGAGGGAGCGGCCGGTGCACGACATTCGGCGGGCGACCCACGACGAAACCTTTAGAAACGAAACGTCGCCCGGGCGGCGCGGGGCGGCGCAGTACGGGAAACGGGAGCGGCTTCGTGCCGAGAGAACAGTGCAGCCAAAGGGCCGCCTTTTTTCTTTTTCTTTTCTTTCAAGTCGCGCGCAAAACACAAAACGCAGTGGACCGCCCGTCCGCCGTCTACTGCATGTCCTCCTCGGCCGAGCGGTGCGAACAAAGGCGGGCTAACGCGAGCGCGTGCCGAGCGCGGAGAGCGGGGCTGGGCAAGCCTCCGCGTGTGTGTGTGTCTTCGGCTGCTGAGGGATCAAGCAGCTTCCTTCTTTTCCGACTTTCTAACTGGAGAGCGCGGGTCGTTGAAGTCACGATTAGGGAAGTACAGTGGTTTGAAGCAGGTGATTTGATTGGATAGGGTCATAGTGCAACTAGATGCAAAAAACGCATTTTCTAGAATGGTAGCCAATAAAACACGAAGATGTAATAAAAATCAGTCACAAATTTTCACAATACATTTCTAAGTGAAGTTGCAGTACCGGGCCTGGAATATAATAATGACAAACGTTTCCTATAATGTGTTTCGCTTTGACTTATATTGTTTGCGTAATAGAATTTGACGACAATGACCATTTGCTCTGTGTGATAAGTTGATGCAAAAGTTGAAAATAACGAACCTAATATTTGCTGTACATTATCTCTTGCAGAGAAAACATCACACAAATGCAGGTAGTTACTCCTATCAAACATACCATACCAGTACGGTGCCATCGATAAGTAATTAGGTCAACAGCAGATTAAAATGAATGAAAAGCCTGTAACCTCTTTTTGCTCGCATTATTGACCACTTCCGTAAATACTTACCGTGTGAGATTCCAATACCATTTTCACGAGCGAATTTCACGAGCAAGTAACGATTGTATACTACGACAAACTGTGCCCCTCTCAACATGCAGTATCAAAATCATAGCTTTAGAATAACGTATATTTTTCTGTTTCAATTTCGATCAGAACATGTTTGCTGCTACTAGTACTTTTGATCCTTAGAAGAACAAAATGCAAAAGAATATCACAATAAAATAACTTCAGCAATAGAAAACAAAAGAAAATTGACAAGAAAAAATTATATCCGGACCACATTTATCAATCTATCGAAACCTCTTCCTAGTGTCCTTCTGCACTCGAGAATGTCAACATTATGAGAGAAGTAACTTATCTGAATCTACAACAGCAAAGCATTATGATGTACATAATTACTAAGGAGCCCTATAATACTTATATGAAAAGAAAATATATTTTTATGGAAATATAAAATTATCTATGGAAGAAAAAATGTATTTGAAAGAGGGAAAAGAATGCACATAAATTAAACACCAGCATAAGAATGTAAAGGAAATACAATTCAATCAGAAAAATATTTTTCTTGAAACAGTGCGACACGTACTTGGGAACGTATCAACAAAACCTAGCAATGGTTAAATGAAACAGATTTCAAAGCACACATCGGGGTGCTTCTGCTAAAGTGAGTTTCGTATCACTTTCTTTGAGACGCTAAAGTTGTTTATACCACTTGCTTTAACTAAATATGCAACAAGAGAAAACTCTACTCCTAAATGCAATATCAACAATCACGAATTCGCAAACGTCCAATTTCTCCGCAAGTGGAAACATCGGATAGATATTCAAGAGCCAGGGCCTAGCAATACAGATTCCGTGATCTGTATAGAAACAGAAAATAAACGTAAATGTACTTTGAGGAAAATGAAAATAAACGAATAAATTAAGTCAGCGCGAGCGGCGCTGTCTCTCGTCACGGGCAAATGGTAACAGAATTTTTTTTTCCCTCTCGCGAAGCGAACTTCATTTCAGAGCCTCCAGCTAGCGGCAAAACTCAATATTTGAGCTAAAAGATTATTTTCGCAGCCATCAATCGAATTTCGACCGAACCTGTGAACTTTCTTAAATTGAGAGTTGAAAATTCCATCCGCTGTAGCTGAAGAGATGCTGCTCTCTCCAAAGCGGGGATTACAGATTTATCTCAAAATTTCTGGTTCAAACCGATTACAAACCATCATCGGTCGGGTAGGCGGAAAGGTCAAAATACTAAAGTAACTCACCGCGTTAATTCGTAAACCCTAGGGATCAGTCGTATTTCAAACAACCTTATGACGTCGACCTCGATGTCGGAATGTCAAACTCGTCGGCGACGACCGC